AACATCCATCCCCCCCCCCCCTTTTTGCCATTAATAATAGATAACGTTTGTATAGCGCAAATTCCCACTCAACAGCAAATTCTATTCGCTTTACAATCTATATTATTACCCCAGCATTATTAACAGAAACATGTCTGGAAGTAGAAAAGATAAAACTGTCATGTAGCATAAACATAACGTCCAGACAAAGAAAAACAGACTTCTCTCACCTGGACACAGAAACAAAGTCGGAGTCCACCCAGCCACTGTCCATAGAGGCGGCACCAGCTGAAATGAATACAGCAAAACATCCAGTACTCCGATGACATAACGTCTCTCCCCCATACCTCCCCCCACTCGAAAAAAAAATATATCTCTGTCATAAATATTATGTGTGCGTTAACATATAATTGACATGATTATATTTCCTATTGAAGGTTGAAATCCTAATTAATTTTCTAGCACATTGTAGATACATTTACATTCACATATCAAAAACAATTATCAATTCTCTTCTTTAGCTATGCAGTGGCAGTGTAAAGTATAAGAAAGAAAAGTGAGTTGTAATATTTGGCGCCTACTGTTACACTGTAACCTGCTGTTCATTCCAATTTACCCTTTCAGTACCCCGGAAGCACACAGTGCTACAGCATGTTAAGCGCATACCGCTGCTATTCGTATACTTGTATTGCGGCTTTGACGACAGGGAGGTACATGTTTGATACAAGGAGAGCACAAGGAAATAAGCTGTACCCTTTGGGTCAGGCAGCAACGTTCTATTCAATGCAGAAGGAAACTGAATTATTCACAACTTCCTTCCTGCAAATTCCGTGTCTTACCAGCTGCAACTAAGACAAATTTGGGTTTACAGCAGGTGTCACACGAGCAGAACCCATCCTTCAACCTCCTTTCCCTGCCCTCCCTCCAACAAACCCCCAACCAGAAACAAATTAAACACAAACAAATTATCTGTAATTAATAAATTATAAATAATAAGATTTTAAAAAATACTGCAAATGAATACAGAAGGGTCATCACATTTACATACACACACATGCAGAAATTCTATTTAAAATACACAGAAACAATATACACATAACCTCACACTCATATTACACGCCAAAACACTTTGAAAGGAGTACATAGCAGTCACTGCTCACGATCATATCCCAGTAATTTTAAGTGTGCAGCTATGTTATTATGATCGAAATAAAGATTTATTACCCTTCCCTCGTGTTTACAGATCAAGCTTTAAAAAAAAGTTTGTGCAAAATCACTCTACAAATAAAAAGAGAAATAGACTGAGCAGTGAGCAAAAGTCTTTTGAACTTTAGTTTAAGTTACGAGCAGCACATCATCACAATAATGGCCACTTTCAGTGCAGGGAAAAAGCAAGGCACACTGACAAATAACAGAGGGAAAGACAAAAAGTAGGGCCCTCCGACCACCAGCGGAAAACTCTTAAATAAGGTGCTTCTTGGAGTAATTAAAGCTCCTTGAGACATAGTAAACAAGAGTGTGTGTGTGTGTGTGTATGTGTGTGTGTGTGTGTGTGTGTGTGTGTGTGTGTGTGTGTGCATGTGTGTGTGTGTGTGTCTGTGTGTCTGTGTGTCAATGTCAAGGCGATCTTAAAGCCTTTAGATCGGTAGATATCAATGTCCTTGAAGCACGTGATTACTCCAAATGTGTACGCCCTCTTCGACAAAAGTCAGATCATTCAGTCAGGAGGCAGGTTGCTTCGACTCTGTCTTCCAAGACCAAACAAGGCTGAGAGTGATACAGCTTCCAAACACAAAAACAAAAAAACCCAACAAGATACAATAGACTTTCCCTCGTGGGAATCGAACTCTCGTTTTCTGTGTGCAACGGCGAGGAGACAAAACAAACAATACACATTTTTAAAAAATATTTGTGAAAAATTTCACGAAATACTGCTGGTTTTTTTTTTTGGTTTTGAATTTTTGATAAAAAAAGGGTTAATTAAGTAGGGTTGTATTATTGTTATAAAATTACACGAAAACGATACAGGAAATCCAAGAGAGCTAAGATAGGTAAAACGCATGGGCAAGCAGAAGTGTGAGGAAGTTGCAGTCTGCAAACAAATAATATGGAAGCAAAGGAGGGGAGGGGGGAAGCGAAAACGTTTACTAATACCTATATTTTTACAAAAGGACAACGCAGAAGCAAATGGTAATACACGTGGCACAGGCAACCTGTTAGTTGGCACAGAAATAAGGTCAAATAGATTATTCGCGGATATCAGATGAAAACAAGTTGGGGTTAGTTCTCGGCAAAGCAACATTGGAGCAAAGACGTGAGTCCAGGTAATAACAGAAAAAGGACAGGGTGAGATTGGGGGTGGGGTGGGATTGGGGTTGTTCGTTCTCATCAGCAGAGAAGTTAGGAGAAACGAATATCGGAAATGGGGTCAAATAACGGGAGGAAAAAATGAATATGCAGCCGAAACACGTGGGGTTTAGTCCTCAGCAAAGCAAAGACTTCAGAAATAATGCCGCAAACAAAGGACAGTTTACGAGAGGGGTTAGACCTCAGCAACGAAATGAGGAAGCACACGACGCAACAGGGATTAGAAACAAATCGGACTGGGTTATGAGTAAGCACACGTTGCAAGAGGGCTTAGGAACACATCGAACTCGGGTTAGTCCTAGAGAAAACGACAAATTACTTTCAGACGCGTCCATCTCCTGGCGGAAGGCGTCTGAGCCAAAACGAGGCTCGATGCTCTCCTCTCGCTCAAACCGAGGTTCGGTGGATATGCTGGGGGGCTGAGCAGAGAAATCGGACAGCATCTGGGAGGCGGGGCGTGAGATACTGATGTCAGTGCTGGCTGCGTCAGGAGGAGGAGACTTGCCTGAAGCCTGGCCGGCCCACATGTCAGAGGGCGTGGACGACTTGTTGATGCCGTCCGCTCCTGGCGGGTATTGGCGGGAGAGCAAGATAATCACGAAACGAATCGGAAGTTGTAAATACCACGGAGTGAGTAGTGGGACACGGGGTAAAGGCAGATTCTCAGATCAACATAAATAGCATTGAAATACGCCCACAAAAAGGAGAAGCAGTTGAACATAATAATGAGCACACCGAGAACAAATATTATGTTATTCTTTTTCCTTTATGATACCCAAAGCAGGGATTCCTGTTTGCAAACAACCAATTGACGGCACATGCCAACGCATGCACGTACTCACATATTATGTTACTCTTAATGACAAACATAGCATTGAGGTGCCAGCCCAGTTTAACATGACATTTAATTTTCTTGAATTTTGAAAACTATTTTCCCAAGTAATCCCCGTCCCCTTTCCCATCTCCCCCAAAATAAAATAAAAATAATATGGTAAATGATTTCGAATTTTTTTTAAATCCACCCAAATAAACAACAAGCTACACTCTGAGCTCCCTATCCCCCCCCCCCTGTCTCTCAAACACCATACGTCCATTGTCATGTACTCATCAGTTCATTTATTAATCCTATTCGTAGAGCCATTCACCTGTAACTCAAAGAGCCGTTTGAAAAAAAAATTAATTAAAAGAACAAATTTGTTTTTAAATCTCGAAAACGAATGGTTATTAGCATTTTAAGGCAAAATCAGTACATAATGTCATAGGACAATTTATGAAAAATCTATTACGGCGAGATGAGTTACATAATGAAACAACTGGTGCATTTCAGGTCCACTCAGGACAACATTTCTGAACAATTTGTATTGTAGTAGCCGTGAGTTTCTACGTGATCATGAACACATCAATGCAAACAGTGAAGAAAAGTAAATCACAGCAATGCTATGTGAAATAATTCCTTGATTAAACAAACCAGGGTGTTTTGTGTAAAAATAAATCGTTTGGATCTGTAGAGAGTGCTGGGTGTTACAAGTGAGGACGTGTATTTTATCTGTGAGTCTATTGATCGAAACACTGCAATTTGACTGACTGGGTCAGCAAAATGTGAACGTCAGTATAATCTCATCAACTTTTTTACTGTCCGAACCCAACGATTTGTGGACTGGGTGGATTTCAGTAGAGGAGGACATCAGTATCAAAATCAATTGACTGACAATGGTTAACAATACACACAAACTCATTAGCACATGAAAACTGACAGCACCACCGCCCCTGTGCGCACATAGAAATTAGTATATACGTGTTTTATTCTCGTTTCCTTCACCATTTGATTTGACACTGCTTGGTATATCTACTAAAATAAATGTGCTCATATCTTCTGTTATGCTCAGGTATTTAAATAATGAAGAAACATTATAATCTGAATAGACATTACGCTTGCTCATTTCCTTTCATTTGCACGAAATATAGGACCATTACTATCCATTTACAGTGTATTTTTTAAATTCAAGATTTTGTAGACAGAAAGCACTTGCATTGGGAACAGCAAAATAATATAAGTTTTATACAAGAGATCAAGAAAGTATTTAGATCGAGAGTGTTTTGTAATTACGAACACGGGTGATCAGAACACGGCAAAACATTTGAGATTAGCTCCATTCGAACATTCTATTCACTTGCTGTGACACTTCGGGTGAGATGAAAACACAAACAAAAAAGCCAAACAATTTACGGGTACTGTCGCTTGTTCGAACGTCTGTCCGGTGGGCCAAAGAGTCAGCAGCAGCTCGAGGCGAAGCTTTGTGAGAGAGTTCCGACGACGATTTTCGACTCCTCCTCGCCTCGCTTCCTGCTCTTCCAACACCACCAGCAGTAGCAATGGCGGCGGCAGATTCATCTTTAGACGACCTCGGTGTCTGGACCGGGGTACCCCCGTGGCTTGCGTGATTGTTCGCACCCTCAATCGCACACAAGACACACTGCTGACCAATAGACGACCTTGACCTTCGAGGGGTGGTTGTCACCGCAAGGCCTCTCGGGGTCAAGGCTGCCGCGCTGGCGTCACGTTTTTTCAGACCGCTGCTCGTGGACTCGACTGCGCTCTGGGCTCTCTTCCTGCGCAACCTTCTCTCCTCCATCAACGCGTTCCTCTGGACAGTCAGTGCGTCATTCTGAGAGAACTTCCGGCGCAGCTCTAGGCTCGCCCTCTTCCCGGCGTCCGCCTGAGACCGGATATAGTCAGTGGGCGTGGCTTTATCGTGCTTCCGGTAGTGACTCCAGGGTTTGCGGCGAATCTCCACCTGCAGCACAGGCGTCCCGCTAGAGCTGGTAGAGCCGCTCCTGTGTCGCCGCTTGTCTCGCCCGTCCGGCGGAGGGGAGAAATCGTTGTCCAGATCGGATAAGCTCGACGCTCGGCCGAGACTCATGTCGTTGGAAGAGAAGCTGAAATCGGAGTCCCAGCTTTCGCCCTCCGATTCTTTAGGACTTCCGGTGACGTCATCCTCTGCTGTTCCCGCTGTGCGCATGCTCCCCGTGCCCGTGCGGGATGCACAAATGTCTCCCAATTCACTCTCAATATTGTCGGAATATTTATCTACGACTCCGTCAACAGGTAGAGAGGTGCCAGACTTTGCATCGACAGACGATTTGCTCCCTACTGACACCGGCCGGCTCGACTTGTAGGAAATAGCGGTGTTGTCCATCGTGTCTTTCACTTCACGGTCTATCGACTGAGCTTGTGGGAGTCTCGCATCACCGGTCACTTGGTCACTCATGACACTAGCGACCGTTGAACCCTCTTGACTCGCAGCTTTCCCACCCTCACCCTCTACGTTGACACTGGTGGCAGATGGGGAGTTGGAATCTGCTCGATTATCCTCCCTATCATGAGCGAAAAGAGCCATTTCGTTGAGGTTTTCCTCACTGATAGCACTCAAGTTGCTTTTCGCGTTATCCAGCGGCGTGAGAGAAACTCTTACCTTGATGATACCACCTGTAGATGACCTAGGTGACAGCACCTTACTGTCCCCTGTTTCTTCTCGCGGGGAACTTAATACTTCATCAAATATTTCCAGAGCATCCCCTTCCGTATTAAGCTGGCCATCGGGCAGTACCTCCACATTTTGCATTTCAGCAGAGAGAGCATTCATCATGCTCGCCGTACGTCTCAGCAACGCGCTGTCCTCCTCTTTGTCAATTTTCCTAGCTTCAGCTGCTCGTGGTTTTAACTCTTCCTTTGCGCTGTGCTCAGAACCCTCTACTAGAGAGTCCTCTTTTTGGTAGCAAGATAGGTTTAAATCTTGCCGACTCGGGCTCTCTATTACGGTTGGTAAAGGCGAGCTAGTCCGAAGGGCTTCGTTGAAGACCGGTACCGGCGATTTCGATCCCATGGACACCAGACTCAAGGCAGGCGAAGATGCCCTCACTGTACTTTCGTTTTCGAAAACGCTCAATGACGGAGTTGTTGCTCTCAGAGATGGTACTTCCGTTGACGATGTCAATTCCAAAACTTTACTTCCTATCTCATGAATGGGTGAAATTCTCCCGCCCGAGAGTGATGCTCTCGGAGCAGGACTCGGCGACATGAACTCACTGCCCACACGAGACCCGTCCTCCGAAGTCAGACGACTTCCCCCATCGTCTGTAGGAGGTAGAGGGGACATTCTCACTCCCGAGGAGACCCGCCTCATCATTTCCTCAGCATCGTCTGCCGAGAGAACCCTGACGGGCTCAGGGGTAGATGAAGCAACAAGCTTCTGCTTCTGACGCTCAAGATATGCGCCCAATAGATCCGGCGTCTTCTCCTCGGGTTTCTCCTCTTTCTTACCCGAGGAACATTTCCGCTTCGGATCCGCAGTTGACACCCTCTTGTCTTTCTGTCCTTGTTTACCGCCTTCTTTCAGAGACGATTTTCTGGGCATGGAACTAGCCTTACCCTTCTTATTGCTATTAACGTCGTGACTTTTTGCTCCGGAATCTTTTCGGCATTCACGCACATTTTTATTTCCACTTTGTTCCTCTTGATCTTTTGCCTTTCCCTTTGCTGACAAATAAAAACAACGTGGTAATTGCAATTGCTAAACAGGTGTCCATTGATAGCTATTTTGTGCATTCAATGCCCTGGTACACATATATGGATCCTTTCCAAAGCAGGGGTTTTGAACTGATAATAAACTAAATAAAATGAAAGGTATACAGAGTGATCCAAAAAAATGTGCAACTTGTTTTGAAAATATCTTCCTCCATACTGAAGTTTTGCTTTTCAGATTTGAACATAATATTTGGAAGCCAAAAGTAATTTGTCTGATATTCATTTTAGATAAGTCCGATGAATGGTTTTGCTCTATAGGGCGCATTAAAAAAAGAACCCGTTTTCAACCTTGTCCCCATTTTCGTAGCATGACGCACCATTTTGCATTAGGCCTACCACTAAAAGTTGCTACAATCGCGCCATATTGCAAGCTACAGCAGTCTAACAAGTCAAGAGTAGTCTACATATATTATCCCCAAATTTCGTTTGCCTGCTAAGATCATGATTAAGTTTAGTAAAGAGCAGGGGTTTTTTTGTATTGAATAGTACCTCTCCATAAATTCACTGTCGCTGACATTTCGTAAGTTCTGCGCACGGCATGGAAAGAATGCTTAGATGCCCTCAAGACCTTTTGTGTAATGAGCAGAGAGGTTCTGTCAGTTTAGATATATATTGAATCACAACTAAAACGTTCCTAAAAAATGACCACTTCAGGTCGAACACGCACCATGCGCTTAAACGTCACCACGGTACAGATTTCAGTAGTCGATTCCCATGAGACGTCTATCCGTAGACGATCTGCAGGTAGAACCTACCTACACCTCAACAGTCTGCATTTTCAGGACAGATCTTAACCCACGACTGCACCATTTTCATCTTCGCTAGGCCCAGATGACATATATCAAAGTATGGCAATGTGTTCATAATTCCTCGATTGTCTTGAAAAGCGGGATCATTTTCTGAATTACATTTGGTTTAGTGAAAAACCCATTTTCACCCTGCGGGATATATTGACTGAAAAATTGCTGTCTATTGGGCACCCCGCTCCCTATTATCTATAGAAGCCACTTCATACTGAATATGTACTGTGCATGCGGCTTTGAACACTCATGGGTAGCAGGTCCTTGTGTCTGGGCGCCATTAAACATTTCGAACAACGCGTTAAAAATGTATCGAGTCCAAAGGAGGGCATGTAGGGCACTGCTTCTATGAATTCCAGAATGATATCGTTAGTTTTTAAACTCTAAAAGTTACAGAGATGGAAAATGAAATGTCAAAGAGAAAATAAAGAAAAAAGTCAACCAACCTTTACAAGATTTTTTTTTAATGGTGAACTTCGCGTTTTTTTGGTGCTCTTTTCTTTGTTTAAGTCATTTCCGTTTTCAAAATAAGTTTCTTCTTCGTGGATTTTATGTCTTACAAATATTCCTTTGGAATGAAGCATGTCTGTTCCAAACTAGAGCGTTCTAGAACAATTTTTGTGCGAGATATACAGAGAAAAAAGTTGTACAGGTTTTTTTTTATCACCCTGTGGTAAAAGTCAGGGTTGATAGACCAAAAGAAATACTACTAACGTGCACCTTTCCTCGCACGTTCACGAGTTATATTTCCATAGCTATAGGGGTCTCCCGCCTGCTGAAATGTAGTGGTTGGGTCTCTAGCACAGTGCAGGGACATGACTGTCAGGCAAAATTCTCAACTAAAAATCTATACCATAACTATTTCCGTTAAATAGAGGCATACATTGTGTAACTGACTTAAGAATAACGTTTGCAAGAAATACTTTGGCATAAAGACAAATCAGAATAGCAGCGAGTAGTCATACACCTTCTTAGCGATTTCAGTATCAGTTCCCATGGGTCCTCTTTTCGATCTGCTTTGGAGTTCGATATGATTCAAATTGCATAAACACAATACATGATATAATGGGTACTATTTAATACATTGACAATCGTTCTTATTTTGAATATCATGATAAACTTGTTAGAATGGGAAAGATGATTACGTCTACAATATTTGTATAAGATATATTCATGTATTGTCCCGCATCAGCACGAGAACGGGTATATTTCTCCGAGAGACATCACAATATTAGGACAATTTTTGTACAGTAACAATCATTGCAGAGAGTCAGAGGGAGCGAATAACATCGGAGAACTCGTCAACTACTCGCGTGATTAATAGCTATATAAGTCCACGAGAGTTCGTCAAATCATATATAATGACTCAGTTGTCTTTGATGGATCACTTTTCGATGCCCATTGTTCTCAACACTAGATTGCGGAAGACTCCAAATATAAATTCAAAATGGATCGATGGATAAAGAGAAGACAATACACCACTGAGCAGGAGAGGACAAAGGAGGTGTTGTACGGGGAACATTGAGTTGTGTCAGACGCCACGAGAAGGTTACATTTCATTGGAAAATAGATGAGGGCAATGGGAACACTGCAAAGACGTAAAAGTAGCCGAAAAAACAATAGCGTCCATCAAGCAGGAGTAGCTGGGAGAAGAGAAAAAAGAACAATTTTTGTGGCCTAATGAATGGAGTTAAGCCACGCACCATTAAACAATGGAGCGAGAGAGAGAGAGAGAGAGAGAGAGAGAGAGAGAGAGAGAGAGAGAGAGAGAGAGAGAGAGAGAGAGAGAGAG